CTAAAGTTACTGCCTATGATTTCTGAACCCAGCTCTTCTTTTTGCCCCAATCTGATGAGGTGCAGCAGGCAAGGAGGGTCCCACCAGTGTTGCGACTGGTCAAGGAGAAAGATGCAATTACAGAAAAAAATTGAAGGGTAGGATCACAATAATCAAAAAGGAAAAAAAAAACCCATGGACCTGGGACAGACTGTGTGGATTCCTTCGCCTCATAGCAAGCTCTGTGGAACCCCCTCCTGGGATACCTTGCAGTTTTGGGCAATATCTGATCTTTCTCTTCGGGACAGACGTGTATATATGTGTATATTTATACAATGCAATGCAGGAGCCAGAGATTGCTACTGTCAAGCCTTCTTCTTAACTTTTGCCAACAATGGCAAAGTAGTAATTCCCTAAAGGACAAATCCTTCATGGGGAGGAGCTCTTCTGCCTGAAGCAGTGACGTTGGCAGAACCTGAGGCTTTCCCTGCATGTTTCCCTTTGGTGAAAAAAAAAACCCAACAGACTTATCTGTACTCAGGAGCATGTGCTCTCACCTAACATTGCCAAAATCAAGTCCCATGCCGTAGCCTCAGCCTGTCACGCTCAACTTTCATTTATTCTGTCTCAGCAGAAAAATCTGCACTATGAATTGATCACTGCTGACAAATGCAGCGTATCAGTCAAACTTTAGGGAAGATGCAAGAGAAAATTGAGTGAACTGAGGAGCAATTTAGTGAGAGAAATTACTCAAGCTGGAGGAATTTATTTTAGTAAACAAGTTATTTGCTTTTGACTACATTTAAACCCTTGTGGTAGGGCTGAGACTCCCCTTCCTGGCGTACCTGTGCGTGCACGGGAGCACAGCTCTGTGGTTGCATTGCACGAATCGCCATCGCCATCCAAACAAGGCTGTGCTTTTCTTTAAATTGTCGAGCCATGCGTGGGCACCCCTCCGGCAGAAGCCGGGCCCTTGATGAAAACATGCCCCGCTTACAGTACAAACAGGAGGTGAAATGGGATGTCTGTTTTCATGACTGCTTTCTCACCCTGCTGCTGTGCCGTTGCCCAATGAATGCAAACAGCAGGCTGTCAGGAGTTTGATGCTGATCAGATCCTGGTTTAAAATGAAAAATGTGATTACTTGGAAATATTTTTCACACCCTGCCTTATTCTTTACATAAATTCCTGAAATGCAAGACTGTTTAAAAAAATCTGTAAACCATAGAATCATAGAATCCCAGGTTGGAAGGGACCTCAAGGATCATCTGGTCCAACCTTTCTGGGCAAGAGCACAGCCTAGACAAGACAGCCCAGCACCGTGTCCAGCTGTGGCTTGAACGTGTCCAATGTTGCGGAGTCAACCAGGGAGATTATTCCAATGGTTTTCGTGTCAGTGTTGATGTCATATGATGTCATGCGGTTGTTCAGAAGTATTAAAGGGTTTGCAAAAATGAAAACTAACAGAGATGTAGAACAATGAAACTTTGAAAACTGAGGGTCTACATAAAAATTATGGCCTATCTCCTTAGGCAAATGCATGACAATTAAGAGTTGTGTGTCTGGCATGCAACGTGCTTGTCATCATAGCTAAATACAGCACAGATATATATTTGAAAAGGCCTTTGAGCATTACAGAGATTTAATTCTGATGAAGGATGCATCCTTTTTAGTGACGATAGTGTCAGAGCTGCATCGATGCCTAAGAATCATAAATAAATTGCGTAGTATATTGCAGGTACCCTGTTAAGATACATTAGGATATCAGGATAAAACTTAGCAGTAGCTGCACTTGCTCAAGGCATAGTTCCATTATCCCCGGAGTTTATGTGCACTCCAGACAAGCCATGGGCTCTGAAGGAGAGGTGCAGCCCAAAGGGGAATGGAGGTGGGAGGTGTCTGAGCCAAAGGTTGTCCCTCAACTCTGACATTTTGTGTCCCCTCACGTAACGTTCTTCCCTGAATTGGTTGAGTTCCATTGGACCATTTGCACTTTTGATCTTTGTATGACCCCACATCAGTGAGTTCACCGCTGCCACTGCCCCCTGCATGGCACCTGAGCATCTCCCCGAGCACGTGGCATTCACACACACAGAAGTAGCTTGAAGAACACCATTCCTGACACCATCAAGTGTCCCAAAATCAAATAATTCTGGAATAGAGCTAAATAAATGCTCACTGAATGAGCTTCACCTCTTCCATGTGTCCTTACATCTTCTTTGCTCTCCCACCTTTAAGACCTGTTCTAAAGACAGATTGGCCGCGATCATGCTGTGTTGGTAGGATACACCCATGCCTTATTTCATGGGCTGTAATGAACTTATTTTCACAGCATTCCTTTGAGGTAATTCTATGAAAGTGAAACACAGAGAAAGGTCAGACATACTCACTGCTAGCAGAGCTGGCTTTGGGAGAGGGATTTTACCTCTGTATTTAAAGGCATCATCAAGATTGATGCTTAGAGATGCTTCACCTGAACTCTGGATGTCCCATGGCACCGATAGCAGATGCTGTCACCCTCATGCTGGGCCTTTTTTGTGCAGTGTTTCCCCTCACCACCCTCCTGAGACATCTCTCCATTTCCGTAGGCTTTGCATCTGGTCTCCTGGGCAGGTTATCTGCAAATTCACCACTGCAGCCAGGTGATGGGAGGGCAGTGGCAGCTCTTAAAGAGCATGGCAAAAGAGCTTAGACTCCAAGGGAAGCAATGGTCTTCAGCAGACTCAAATAAGAACATGGAGATTCACTGCACAGTACTTCACTGTCAAAAAAGGCCCGTTAGTGTTTTTTCTGTTGGCCAAGTACTGAGTATTCGCTGTATTTCTGGTCTTTGGTAGCACATGGAAGTACTCTTGAGTGGCAAAGCAAGCTGTCAAATCTCTTAGCATCTCCCCTCTGCACTGGGATGAGCAATTCTGGCAACCTGTAAAGGGACTATTTATCTTCTGAGCTTCCTGACCTGTTTCTAAGGCCACTCAGGTTGAATATCTGCATGTCTAGACAGTGCATGAACTGAAACTATTAAATCTTTTGAAGTCTGCCTGGATTTTCCCAAGCACCGTTAATGAATGCATTTACAAAATGAGCGCTGCAGATCTCTCGGTGTAAAACAATAAAAACGAGATGAATTGCCTACTTACCAATGATGAAAGCTGAGACCTCACCAACATTACGCCCTGCGAGCAGCCTTAACGATTGCGTAGGGGACAGCCAGTGCAGGACAGATCCCAGCGCTGGGAACGCTGCAGACCAGGGCTTCCTCTTGCTGGGATGGTCTCTTGGCTCCTGCCTCCAGGTTTCTGCAAAACCAGCTCTTACCTCTGTATAGTCTTACCTTTGTATCAGCCTTAAACGAAAAGATTAGGAATCCCAGATGCCTGCTAGACACTTGGGTATTTTTTACTGGACATAGTCTCACTGTCTCTCACCATAAATTCTGTCCTTACTGAAACAGATATATGTAATCTAGGAAAAAAAATCATTGTGAAAAAATGCATTTAAAAAAAAAAAAAAAGAGTAGTACCATTACAAAACTAAACCTGTTCCTGCTCTGCGGTGACGCGCTGTCTCCGCTCATCCAGCTGAGACCAGAGAGGAATTTTAAAAGTCCTGTGCAAATTTTAGTTGCAGTTTGGAGAGAAGAGATGGTAAATGAGAATTTTCCTTTTCTTAGTAAGGCAATTAGGTTGGCAGTTCCTTCAACACAGATTTTGCTTGCTCCTCGTTGAGGGATGTCTGTAGCTAAATTGGCACATACTAGCCAGTGTATATACTAAGTAAGCGTTTTTGTCAAATAATGTACATTACAAAAATCAGAAATTGTTGGGATGAGAGTGATTTGTCCCTAAAGACAACTGCTTCATCCATTCGTTTGCTGTTAGAGAATTCTTTATTCTCCGGAACATACATATGTTTAAATTTAATACAAACCATATTGCCTTTCAATAAGCAAATGAGCACCCTACTGCAACGCATCTGTGTTTTTGAGCTGATTTAAAACACCACATTTACATGTTGAGAACCTCATTAAACATCTAGTGGCTATTTCCTTTCCTCTCATGCAGCAATTGTCTTAAGTATTTAAGAAATGGCTTGTTGAAACATTCATATCTGACAGTTGAGCCGTTATTTATTGGCGAAAATTCAATCTTACTTAAAAAGTTAAGCAAAATCAGTATGTTCATTTTCCTTAGAAATGCACTTTGGCATCATGCACTTGTCTTATTGCATTATTACTCGTTGATCTGTTTATGCATAGACGCATGTAGGTTGCTTAAAATGCAGCTTTGTTTTTCCAGTTCATTTCCCAAGACAACCTTGCTTCTTCACGGTATGGACGAAGCAGCGAAGCTCCGGCATGCCTTACTTTAAAAGGGTTGGGTTTGTCATCTTGATTGCAGCTGCAGTCATTAATTTGTCACTATGCAATTATTTTGTATGAAAAAATAGGGTCATTCGTAAATAGCTTTTAGAAATCGCAAGAAAACGAGTTAGTTCACTAGTGACGGGAGTGCACCGTCTGTCGCTCGAGATCCATCTGGAGAAGGTTGTAGCACTGTGGGATACTCGCTAAGTCATTGCCACTGAAATATGAATTGTGTCTTGGGATTGATAGTCCCTTGATCATGGAAATGTAGTTGTGGGTATAAGCATGATGTGTTTAATTTAAACTTATCAACACATACAAATATCTCAAGGGTGAGTGTCATGAGGACGGAGCCAGACTCTTCTCAGTGGTGCCCAGCACCAGGACAAGGGGCAATGGGCACAAACTGAAGCAGAAGAGGTTCCAGTTGAACGGGAGGAAGAACTTGTTGACTGTGAGGGTGATGGAGCCCTGGCCCAGGCTGCCCAGGGGGGCTGTGGAGTCTCCTTCTCTGGAGATCTTCAACCCCCGCCTGGACGCTGTCCTGTGCCCCCTGCTCTGGGTGAGCCTGCTTGAGCAGGGGGGTGGCACTGGGTGAGCTCCTGAGGGCCCTGCCAGCCCCTGCCAGTCCGGGATTCTGTGATTCTGTGATTAGGAACTGAATCTTGATGCCACTGCAATAATGTTATCTCTTGTTGCCCTCATGAAAATAACGGTCTGCCTATTGCAGATAAAACTGCTGCTTAATATGCAAAGCCACGTCTGTGCTGTTGGCAGTCGCCGTGCTGGCAGTGCCCGGCTCGCCCGCGACACAGCCGCGCCGTGTGCTTTGAAGTGTGAGAGTCGGTGCCAGCCAGGTTTCCCAATACAAGAACTTCAAATCTGGTATGTCTCTGACAAGGAATGAGAAAACTTCCTCTGAAAACCAGCCTTAACGTGGGTTAAGAACTAAACCCGCCTTTTGTGAATGCCTAACAAAACAGGGATTAGAAATGGAAAAACTCTTTTGGTAGATGTCTAGCAGTAGTAAAAGAGCAGGGCTCCTGCCGGGGTTGGGAACAGTGCAGCTCCTGTTTAATCCCGCAGACTTCAGTGAATTCATCTGGGAGGCAGCCAATTTTAAAGTCTTTAAATGGATCCTCTTGGCTTATATCACATTTTAGCCTGTCTTTAAGGAGGAAAAAAAAAAGTTATTGACTTGAATGCAGTGTCTTCTCACTCAAGGTTGTGCCTAATCTGAGTTCACGCATTCGAGAAGGGCACATTGGCCACAATGCCTGAAGTTCTGTGACCCTTACCGAGGGCAAAACCATATCACCTACCTTCAGTCACCAGGGCCTTTCCACTGTTTCCATTAAAATGCAAGCAGAGGGGATGCGTCTCCAGTGAGTCAAGCCAAACATGGCGTGGTAGAACCTTACAGGGTTAGGACTCCCTGGGTGATGGTAGTGATGAAGATAGTCCTTGTGCTGGGGGGAGATCAGGGCCGTGCGTTACATTGTTTTTAAAAAGGTTTTTATACTTGTCTTCTTAGGAGTTTTCACATTTTTATTCAAACTAGAGATAGCTTTGTTTCAAGAAGAGTTCCAAAACAACCCAGACAGACAGTAGATATTAAACATCAATATAATAGTCAGAATCATTAGCTTTACTGTACTGCTCAGATGAGCTTTGATCCCAGAGCAGAAGAGACCTCAGCCACAGAGAAGGGAAAGTGGCACCAGGTCTGGGAGCAAGCGATTGCTCCCAGTCCCAGAGTGTCCATGGTCGGCACGAGGAGCAGCTTGATATATCTGAGACCCTTTTGGCGCTGCCAGTAGAGTTGGCGGATGGGTACCACACTTCATCTGTCATTAGTAGCAGGCTGGTGTTTGCTTTTGGGGGGGTTTAAGTCGTGGAGTGAGGATGCATTCAAAATAATCAGCAATAAAATTGACATGTGTGACAACATCAGAACATCTGCTTTGTATCACAGTGTAACACAGGACACTATAAATCCTCCTGCCTGTAGCATTTATGGAAAAAGTAGCGTAGAGTACAGGGAGTTTCCATTTCTCAGGGTCGCCTTTCATTGGTAACTATCCTGCTCAGCACTCGAACTGAAGGATGGGGACAACCTTGTGTGTCTTCCTTCATGGTGACTGCATAGATTTGGTCACCCTCTACTGGCTTCTGAAGGTGCTGAGGTCTGCCAAGATGTTGTCTGCACTTAAGGAACATTTTTCTGTCTCATTAACAGCTCTCTGAAGAATATTCTGCCATTAATGTATTTCAGCTTTGGATTTGGCTTTGGAATAGTGACCCAGATTGTTCCAATTTTTTTTTATTTCACAGCATCCTTGTACGTGTCCCCTGGTTAGCAGTTGGAGGCGGCCAAGACTCCTGTAGTTGCATACGTTAAATGTTCAATGATAAAGTGGAGTTTGGTCATGGGGGGAGCCTGAAGCTCATGAAATAAATTAGCAAACTCCTGTAGCATAGCATAGTTCGGGTTAGGAACATAGGCAAATTCAGGATTTTGTGCTAAAAGGCCATGAAACCCTACCTGTTGAATAGCCTTGGCATTCTCATATATGTTGTGCATACAGAAATGGTCCCAAACATCACTCAGAGTGTTTCTTCACTCCTGAAAGTTTATCCACCAGCAACAAACCCACTTTTGGACCTCACCTTCAAGCTCTTGCTTCACTGAGCATGTGCTCAGTGTCGACTGGGAGGCTCTGGATGTTCTTCTGCTTTTCCATACCAGCTTCCACACGCATGGCAGTGGTGGCTTCACCTGAAGCTCCGTGCCAGCACCCTGCCACTGCTCAGAACAGTTCTGGTCTCATCTGGGCATCACGTGGAGGTGATTCCCTTCCATAGTTTGTTTTTCACCAAAGACAGATTCAGGTAGTTTTTTCCAAACGATGAGTTAGTGAATCCCGAGTTGCACAAACATTCATGCAGCAACGAGCGAGTGCTTCCAGCTCTCTGATATTTACTGTCAGCGGGATGGAAGCAAATGAAACGAGAGAGACTTTCCTGGAGCAGACATGAAGGGTCTGCAGCTCCAGTCTCCATGGTGGCTGCTCTGCTCCTCAGCGGGCGACAGCCACGTTCCCCGCGCCGCCGGCAGCGATGCAGCCACGGTGACCTAGAAAACAAATGACTCCGCTTTAAAGAAGTAATAAAAAGCCAACCGGTACCTGTAAACCAGAGAGTAACTTGTTCAAGCTTGTTATTCGAAAGATTAAAGTTCCTACCTTTCCTTTATTTTGAGTCTACAGATGTCTGCAGTCCCAGTCGGTTGATAATGAGAAAGTCTCTTCAAACAGCCCCGAGCAGGTCACTTCGCTGTGCACTTCCTCCTGGTCACCATTCGGCTTTATTGTATTTTTAACTCCTCTTTTCATTCGGCAGCATACGGGGTCAGGTGTATTCAAATACATATTATCTGCTCGTGAAAAGGATGTCTGCGAAGGTTGCGTGGTCGCTGGCTGCAGAATGGAGTAGATCACTTTCTGCCCGGAGCACGGCTCTCATACCCGTCGTGCAGGTACAGGTACGCGTCAAGTTTGCCACAAAGGAAAAAGTGAACAGGGTTAAATTTTATTGCCTTTCTGATTAGAGAAAGTCGTACCTATTATAAATCCAGAGTTTCCCCTTCGTCCCTGTGTGCAAGGTTGTTAAAAGCAAAGAAACAGCCACCTTCCACCACCTTTATGGAAGATTGTCGTGGTTTAACCCGGCTGGCAACTCAGCACCACGCAGCCGCTCGCTCACTCCCCCCCCCCTTCTCAAGTGGGATGGGGGAGAGAATCGGAAAGAAAATAAAAGGTTAGAGCCAAGGGCTGAGATAAAGACAGTTTAATAAGAGAAAATAATAATAATAGTAATAATGAGAATGATAACAGAATGTACAGAATATACAAAACGAATGAGGCACAAGGCAATTGCTCACCACCCACCGACCGATGCCCAGCCCGTCCCGAGCCGCAAGCAGTCCCCGAGCCG